CGGCCCACTGAAGCCATTGCCTTTTTAAAAAAATATTTTTTTAAAATTGATTTCAGAGAGGAAGGGAGAGGGAGAGAAAGATAGAAACATCAGGGATAGCCCCCTACTGGGGATCAAGCCCACAACCGTCAACCAGTTTTCTCTGATGTGAACATAGCCATAGAACCATGATCAAACCCAAGAAATCAATACTGGAGTGCCGCTTACTAACCTGCAGACCTTATTCTGTTCCCACCAGCTTTCCACCAATATCCCTTTTCTGTTCCAAGATCCAGTTCAGGAGATCACGTTGCATTCCTATACACCTACTTTTAATTGATATTTTTTAGAGAGGGAGGATGAGAGAGAGAAACATCAAAGGGAGAGAGATACATTGATTGTTTGCCTCCCATACATGCCCTGACCAGGGATGGAACAGGTAACCCCAGGTATGTGCCCTGACTGGAATCAAACCCACAAACTTCTGGTGCACAGGATGACACGCCCACCAACTGAGCCCCAGTAATTGTAATTACTATTTTGTAGCTGGCTGTTTTTATTAGTAAGCCTATATAATAAAACCCTAATATGCAAATAGACCGAACAGTGGAACAACCGGTCGCTATGACACACACTGACCACCAGGGAGCAGAAGCTCAATGCAGGAGCTTCCCCCCCCCCCCCCGGTGGTCAGTGCACTCCCACAGGGGGAACACCACTCAGCCAGAGCCAGGCTCATGGCTGGTGAGTGCAATGGTGGTGGCAGGAGCCTCTTTTGCCTCTGTTCTAAGGACCCCTTGGGGGATGTCTGACTGCCGGCTTAGGCCTGCTCTTAAGCTGGCAGTTGGACATTCCCCTGGACTGAGAGAGGGCACAGGCGGGGCTGAGGGACCCCCTCCCACACAGGGCACAAATGTCGTGCACCAGGCCTCTAGTATATTATAAACATTTCCCAGTCAATTAAAATTCTTCCTTCATCACCACTTTCAATGGAAGCATAATGTTCCATTATATGGATTTTTCATAATTTTGCTTATCCAATAGCTTATTATTCTATTGATACATTTAAATTATTTCTAATTTTTCATGATTTTAAGAATGAGATGAATATCACGCACATACTTTTTAAAATATATATATTTCTCACCGAAACCGGTTTGGCTCAGTGGTAGAGAGTCGGTCTGGGGACTGAAAGGTCCCAGGTTCGATTCCTGTCAGGGGCATGTACGTTGGTTGCGGGCACATCCCCAGTAAGGGGTGTGCAAGAGGCAGCTGGTCGATGTTTCTCTCTCATCGACATTTCTAGCTCTCTCCCTTCCTCTCTGTAAAAAATAAATAAAAATATATTTTAAAAAATAGATAAAATATATATATTTCTTTATTGATTTCAGAGAGGAAGGAAAAGGGAGAGATGGAAACATCAATGGTAAGTGAGAATCATTGATTGGCTGCCTCCTGCATGCGCCCCACTGGGGATTGAGCCTGCAACCCAGGCATGTGCCCTTGGCCGGAATCAAACATGGGACCCTTCAGTCTGTAGGCCGACGCTAGGGCAGCGGTTTGCCTCTCTGTTGACTAATGAGTTTGCCGACCACTGGACTAGAATAAATGTTACTGTGCATTTGGAAGCTGTGAGGATTGGGCAATTGTGGCATATTGTGTGCAAAGAGGTAAAGGGTAGTATATGCTAGGGCATCACATACTTTTTTTAAAAAAATGTTTTTATTGATTCAAGAGGTAGAGGGAGAGGGAGAGAAACATCTATGGATCAGTTGCCTCCTGCTCGGCCCCTACTGGGGATTGAGCCTGCAACCCAAACATGTGCCTAGACAGGGAATCTAACTAGTGTCCTCTTAGTGCATGGGTCGACACCCAACCACTGAGCCGTATTGGCCCAGCCACATACTTTTGATGTACATAGCTGATTATTTTGCCACAAAGCAAAACCCCAGAAATTAAATTGTGTCCAGAGGACCTCTCCCTCCCCCTTCCAAGTCCATAGCCAGGATTTGGCCCTGCTGGTGGCCTTTATATTTAAGCCTGCTCGCCCCTGACTTAAAGCAGGCAGGGGAGAAGACGCAAAGAGACCTCAAAGGGGAGCATGGCCTGTGGATGGTGGAGATGGCAGAGGAGATGGGAGCATCAGGAGAGCTCCAGGTGCTCCTGGCTCAGCCATCTCCCAGGGCAACGAGCCCCAGCTAGGTGGCTTGTTCTGTCGGAAGAGAATAATGCTTGCTTTGAGCCCAAGGATAATGGGGAGGGGTTGTGGGGGGCGGGGCGAGAAGCTGCTAATGCATTTTTGCCAGCATCTTTGGTTTCTCCAATATTCAGCCAGACAATTAGCAGGTCCCCAAGGATGGCCTCGCTCCTCACGTCATCCCCATTTCCTAGAAATGGGAAGTGGCTGGGGAGCAGGGTGTGTGTGTGTGTGTGTGTGTGTGTGTGTGTGGTGAGGGAGGAAGGGAGGAAGGGAAAGGGACATAATGGTTTTCCTACCACTGACTCAGTGGGCAACTGAGACCCAAAGGAGCATCGTCCAGAATGGGCCCAGCCTTGTGAGGAGTGGTCTGGGTGCTGGGACCTGCTCTAAGGCTCTGAAGTCACTGGCCAGGCTAAGTGAGGGATGGCTGCCTCTGCCTGGTTCCTGGAGAGTGTGTGTGTGTGTGTGTGTGTGTGTGTGTGTAGGGGGAGGGGAGAGGAGGAAAGGGGGATAGCAGAGAGGGAGGAAGGATAGTGATTGGACTGAAGGATTGCCCCAGTTTATCCGAAAATACTACCCACCTCTTGAATGTCATAAGAATTAAATGAATAAATACATGAAAAGCATTTAGAACAAGGATTGGCACAATTAGTAATAGTTAGTGGCTACTATTATTATTACACGAGGAGGCTTAGCCAGCAGAAAAAGGAGGTGGCCTTTTTACTTAAAAGACTGTTCACCCAGGACCCTAAGGCGGACAGGGGAAGGAGCAGAGCGACCTCAAAGGGACCCCAGCCTTTGGAGGTTGGAGATGGCGCAGGAGGGGAGCATTTTCACAGCAGCCTGTGCGGGCAGGCCCTGGACAGTGCATCTGCCTGGCTTGGCCCAGAAGAGTCACCTGAACTGGGGAGGTATGACCTGGCACCTGTCCAGGTGGACAGGCCCTGGGTGGATACGGGATCTCACACCAGGATGTTGGCACACAAGGCCTAAGGCATGCAGGCCTCTGGCAAGACACGAGGGAGAGGAGAAGGGGACTCCTACCGCTCTGAGGCGGGAAACCTCCCTCTTGCTCCCAGGGCTCCTTCCCCACGCCTGGAAAATACCACGAGCTGCCTCTCTGGGCTCTGTAATTTTCCAGTTGACCTGGAATTCCCCCCGTCTCCTGCCCTCTTTCGCGGGGCCGTGGGGACACCCCCTCACGGACCCAGGGGCTCCCGGTCGCTCTGTTGGCCACCAATGGGGATGTCAAAGGGACTGGGAACCTGGGAACCTGGAGGGTGACCTGCTGGAGGGTCACCTGCTGGAGGGGTAAGTGCTTCCTCCTTTTCATGTTAAACTCCTTAAATGACTAAAAGATAGATTTTTAAAAAAAATTTTATTGATTTTTTTACAGAGAGGAAGGGAGAGAGATAGAGAGAAACATCGATCAGCTGCCTCCTGCACAACCCCCATTGGGGATGTGCCCACAACCAAGGTACATGCCCTTGACCGGAATCGAACCCGGGACCCTTCAATCCACAGGCTGACACTCTATCCACTGAGCCAAACCGGTTTTGGCAAAGATAGATTTTTTTAAAAATTGATTTTTAGAGAGAGAAGGAGGGAGAGGGAGAGAGAACCATACCTGACCTCTATGGGGAATGAAGCCGAACCCCCGACCAGAATCCATCCTGTGAACCTTCCAAACCCTGGAAGATGCCCAACCAGCTGAGCCACACTGGCCAGGGCTCAAAAGGCAGATTCTTGATTCTTTTCTCTTCTCTGCTCCCTCCTGCACCACTGTGTGCCCAGGCCACCCGGCTCCATGGCTTCCCTGTCTCTCCTCTCTTCCCCATTCTTCTTTGCCTCCCAGCCGGAGGCGCCCTCGGAGGGGACCTGGCCAAGCCTTCTCCGTACGGAAGCCCGGCATAAGGAAGGGACTTGCTGCCCAGCACACCTGCTTGGTGGCAGAGCCAGCGCTGGAGCCCAGGGCCCCCAATGCCCAGCCCGTGGCCACAGCAAGGTCATCCCTTCACAGGCATCCTCCTGTGACTCTGAAGTCTTCAAGTCAACAGCCCTCGGCCACTGGCATTTATCCCTCCAGATAAGACCCCAGGGAGGAGACAAAGATACCGGCTAGCCCGGCCTCCAGCGCTCTGCCTCCCATCTGCATTGTTGGGACGCTTGTCCAAGGCACCTGGGAACAGGTATGTGTGGGGACCTTGTTCAACCGCTGACAAAGGGAACATTTTGCTGGCAAGCACCAACCCCTTGTCTCCCCCCCCTCCCCCCAAGGAGAGAGAGAGAGAGAGAGAGAGAGAGAGAGAGAGAGAGAGAGAGAGAGAGAGAGGGAGAGAGAGAGAGAGAGAAGGAATTTGGCTTTTAACTTCAGGAAGAGGGTTTGAGCCAGGTATCAGGAAGCTCTTTCTGCCCCAGAGAAGAGCAAACAGTAGAGACGGAGGCACTCAGGGCAGAATGGGACATCACCTTGCAAGGGCTGGTCCTGGAGGGGATGGGCAGGGTGCCGCGCTGCCTGGGGACAGGGGCATGACCCGCAGACAGAGCCCGGCCAGGTCACGGTCACAGCCTGGCTCCCTCCCGAGCGGGGGAGGCGCCCCGCGGGGCCGGGTGGCTTTTACCTAAATGTTTGGATGGCGGCGGCGGCGAGGGGCGGGGCGCTGCCCTGGTAATGACAGGGCCGCCGGGAGCCAGCCGTGCGGGGGCTGCCCGGCGCGGTCGCGGCTGCAAAGACCTCGCGCTCCCTCGGCTGGGGGACCCCCCCCAACCCCCCGGATCTCTCCACCCCGCGGACCCCCCTCCGGGCCGCTCGCCCCGCCCCCTCCTGGCCGCCCAGCGCGCATGCTCTCTCCCCGCACCGCGGAGGAACCTGGAGATTTAAAAGCCGCCGGCCGGCGCGCGCGGGGCAGCGGGAGGCCGAGCTCGGCCGCGCCGGCCCGTGACAGCCGCTCTCCCCGGCCAGGTAGGCGCGCCCCGCTCCTCCGGGGATCGGGGTGCCGGCGCGGGGAGGGGAGGGGGGACGCGGCGCGGCCCCGCGAGGTCCCGTGCTCCGCGCCCCGCGGGCTGGGACCGGCCGCGCGGTGGCCGTCCGGGCGCCGCCGTCCCCCGAGTCCCGGTCCCGGTCCCAGAGGGGGCGGCGGGGCAGCCGGGCTGCGGAGCGCGGGGCGCCGGCGCGGGTCCCCGCGGGGCTGTCGGTTCTCGGCGGGAGGCGGGCCGGGCCGGGCTGGGCTGGGCGCCCGGGCCCCGGTCCCCGATCCCGGGTCCCCGATCCCGGGTCCCCGGTCCCCGGTCGGCGGGCGGCGGGCGGCGGGCGCGCGCCCCTGCGGCCCCTCCCGGGGCGCGGATTCTCTCTGGAAAGTTGTTGCGTGTTTTCTCCCGGTCTCGCGGCGCCGGAAAGGGGCAGATGAGTCACCGCGGCGCGCACCGTCCCGGGCCGGGGAGCTGGGAAAGGGGCCGGGCGCCCGCGGCAAAGGTGGCCGAGCCCCTTTGGGACGTGCGTCTTGGCGCCGGGCTCTGGGGCAGGGAGCTGAGGCTGGAGCGTGAGTGTGTGTGTGTGTGTGTGTGTGTGTGTGTAACTGTGTGTGACTGTGTGTGTGTAACTTGGTGTGTGTGTAACTGTGTGTGACTGTGTGTGTGTAACTGTGTGTGTGTGACTGTGTGTGTGTGTAACTGTGTGTGTGACTGTGTGTGTGTGACTGTGTGTGTGTGTGACTGTGTGTGTGTGTGACTGTGTGTGTGACTGTGTGTGTGCAGCTCCTCTGCTCCTGCTCAGCCTGGGTGACCCCTCGGGGAGAAGGGGAGAGGGAAGCTGAGTGCTCTGCCCTCCTGCCTCGCCTGCCAGGGCTGGGGAGAGCGGAGAGGATCTGAGCCCAGCAGACGGTGTGATGAGGTGGTCCCTGGGCCCCAGGGCTCCGGGCTCAGGCTCTCCTGCTGGACAGGTCCCCCGGGACCTGCAGGGTTTCTCCAGAGCGAGGGGCAGCCCTTCCAGGGTCTCCTGTGATTTGCTCTTGCCCTTGACCTCTGGAAACAGCTTCCCTCTTTGGTGACGGACACTGTTTTGACCTCCTCAGCTTTTCCTTCTCCCCAGGGCTTCTCCCTTGCGCTTCCTCTTTTCTCAGGAGGCCATCGTTGGGGGCAGGGACGGGTTTGGCATGGTGGTGGGTCCCTGGCCCAGGGCTTGCCCTTTCTGCTGGTACAGGCACCTGGCCTCAGTGGGGCAGGGACTAAGAATAGCCCCGCTGCTCTCTCGCTGCCCCGGAGCCTGCAGCTGGGCACAGCCAGTGGGCCAGGGCCCAGAGTGACCGGTGCCCGGCTCCTGGAAGCATTGCTGGGAGCTGGAGGGAGGCTCCGGGGGCCTCTGGCTGCTTCTCCTGAGGCGCTTAGCAGGTCTCCCTCAGAGCCAGCCTTGGTGTGGGCGCACCTGCCCGGGCCCCGGGAACAGGCTGGCTTCTGAGGGTGGGGAAGGCAGGGGCCGGGAGGTGCAGGCTGGATGGGAAGCCTGAGGAAGCCCACAGAGCAGCTTCTCCTCGGGAGGGAGTGGGAGCATTTGTGAGGTCACGGGCCCTTTAGTTGGATGGGTCCCATTCCCTCATTCCTCCCTTATCTCCTCCCCCCAGGCCTGTCACGGAGCCAGGACTCTGTTGTTCTAAAAGGGCTCAGAAAACTGAAGCTTGAGTCAGCAGGATGAGTCTGGAGATAAAAATACAGCTGTGGATGAATGTGCAGCTGTGGGCATACAGGCCCCAATTTAGTGGGTGGGTGGGTGGGTGGTGGTGGGGGTGGGGTTCCTATGGACTCTCGGAGTGTGTGGTGACCTCCCCTGGCTCTCCTGGCTCGCTGAGTTACCCTGAAAGGGGAAGAAGGAGGAGGAGCCAGACAGTGATTCTTGGTGGGCCAGTGGGTGGTGGAGGGATGATGGTGTGGATTCCCCTTTCCCAGCCTGTCCAGGCCTCTGGAGAGAAGAGGCAGGGAGGCGGGGATGGCTGAGGACTCCAGAAGTGAAATTAAAGCACTATTATCAGGACCATTATCGTCTAATAGCACAACATTATGGATAAGAACCCAGACTGTCAGAAAGACAGGGTTTATGTCTTGGCTACTCTCTCAGCTATGGAATGTTGACAAGTTACTTAACCTCTTCTAAGATGCAAAGTGAGGATGAGGAGAATAACAATAATGATGATACCTACATGTAGCTTTATTATTTATTAGACAACAAATATAGCAAATGAAAAATATTTATAAATGTAGTTCTATATGCTATATAAAAGATATGCAAGTGTAGCTCTATGAAACCACACGGACAGAGCACTGGACTGACTGTGCCTGATGGGAAAGAAGGGCTTAATAAGTGTCAGCAAGGCCCTAGCAGGCTTGGCTCAGTGGGTAGAGCATCAGCCTGCAGACCAAAGGGTCCCAGGTTCGATTCTAGCCAAGGGCACATGCCTGGGTTGCGGGCTCAGTCCCCAGTAGGGTGTGTGTAGGAGGCAGCCGATCAATAATTCTTATTATTGATGTTTATATCTCTCTCTCCTTCTCCCTTCCTCTCTGAAATCAATAAAGAAATATATATATTTTTTCATATATTTTATTGATTTTTACAGAGAGGAAGGGAGAGGGATAGAGAGTAAGAAATACCGATGAGAGAGAAACATTGATCAGCTGCTTCCTGCATATCCCCTACTGGGGATGTGCCCACAACCAAGGTACATGCCCTTGACTGTCTGGCATCGAACCCGAGACCTTTCAGTCCAAAGGTGGATGCTCTATCCACTGAGCAAAACCAGTCAGGGCAAGAAATATATATATATTTTAAAAGTGCCAACTAGCCAAGACCAGTTTGGCTCAGTGGATAGAGCATTGGCTTGGGGACTGAAGGGTCCCGGGTTCGATTCTGGTCAGGGGCATGTACCTTCGTTGCGGGCACATCCCCAGTAGGGGGTGTGCAAGAGGCAGCTGATCGATGATTTTCTCTCATCGATGTTTCTAACTCTCTATCCCTCTCTCTTCCTCTCTGTATAAAATCAATAAAATACATAAAAAAATATTATTTAAAAAAAAAGTGCCAACTAGTATTAACCACATCCAGTGTACCTGTCACTGTCACTGCCTGGATGGCGACCCCCTCCTTTCTTGGGTTCTGCTCTTGACCTTGTTTCTTTGGGCGTGAGGTCTCCCGAACTTTGGGGAGTCTGTATGATGAGGGAAGAGGCTGGGCTGTAGCACCCCGCTGCCTGGGTTTGAATCCTATTTCCCCTTTTGAAAGTTACTCCACCTCTCGGTGCTTCCTCTTCCCCCTCTCAGACTGCGGATGAGTTACCCGCCTCGCAGTGTTGTGGGGATTAAGTGAGCGCATGCAGCTGAAGCTCCGAGCGCAGCAGCTGGAGGTGAAAAGGGCTGGCTAAGTGCCAGATCCCGCTATTCGGTGGCAATGAAGACAATGGTTGTGGCTTACAGTTTGAGACCAGAGTTTCTTAGTGAGGCAATCACACCACATAAAACCCTATGTAAACTGTGAATGACACACACTGCGGTTGAACTTGTGGTTTGGTGGAAAGAACACGCCAGGACTGGATGTCCTGGCCTCTCCTTGTCAGTATCGTGTGTGACTTGTTTCTTCATCTGTCCAGTCATCCCAGTCCCCATTCCCTCCTCACGTGGTGATGGAAGTGAATCCTGAGGTGACAGATAATACACACTGAGTAGCCAGGTTATTATGGTCTCTGAACACATAACAATCTGGCCACTCAGTGTGTGTGTGTGTGTGTGTGTGTGTGTGTGTGTGTGTGTGTGTGTATTAGAGGCCTGGGGCATGAATTCGTGCATGGGTGGGGTCCAGCCAGCCTTGCCAGGGGGAGGGGACATGGGCAGTTGGCCGGCCTGCCTGCTGGTTGAACTCCTGGTCCAGGGGACAATTTACATATTAGCCTTTTATTATATAGGATATACACTGAGTGACTAGATTATTATGTGTTCAGAGATCATCATAATCTAGCCCTTCAGTGTATATTCTGAAAAGTCAAGAGTTTTGCATGCAAAAAGGTCATTTGTTGCGATTTTTAGGGGAACTGTGATGGGGAGGGTTCAGCTCCTCCCTCCCCCCCCAACGGGCATCCTTGCCCTGCTCTCCGGTACCCAGCCCAGCTTCCGTGGGAACAGTCGATGGCCCTGTTGGCTGGACAGCAGGAGTCGAGGCCGGACCAGGGGGTGCCAGGCTCGGCGTCTGGAGCGCCGACGCCACTGGACTCCCAGCGGCAGCGCAGAAGTGTGGAGCTTTGTCCAGTGTGCTCAGTGCCCCTGTGTGGGGCCCGGGGCTGGTGACAGAGCCGTCACGGGATGGTCCTGACATCCTGCCAGAGCTTCCTGTTGAATCCCCTTTCTCTGCTTCATGGTGTTTGCTCTTTATGGGAAGAGTGCTTCTGGGCCCTGAATGACCTGCGGGGGCTGTCGGAGACGGGCCATTCTCACCTGTTGGCCGTGGCTCTGTGTCTGTAAAATGGGGATGATGATGCTCACCCTGCAAGGTCACGGCGAGGGTTAAAGGAGAGAGGCACGGTGCGCAAAGTGCTGCACAGACCAGGAGCTCCATACGTGTTTGTTTCCTTCCCGTCCTTGTTCATTCTGGACACCAGACTCTGGAAGCTGGGATGAGACGGCAAGAAGGGTCCCATAGCCCCACGGTCCTTCAGGCACCAAAGTTAGGCCATTCCGAATGCCTCGCCAGGTAGGATGGCCTCAGGAGCCGCCAGCCTGTGGCCACAGCCCCTCCTTCCCAGTGGGCTCTGTCGTGCGCCCTGCCTCTCTGACTGATCCTGTGTCCTCTGAGCTGACAAATAGCGTCCAAGCTGGCAGCCCGTGGCCCATTCCTAGGGATGTGACGGTGGAGCTTCCCCCTCCCGGCTCCAGCCATGAGAGCCGCGCACCCGGAAACCCTGTGTGGGGTCCTGCCAGGAGTCCCAGGGACGCAGGCTAAGTCACATTCGACGGGAACCCTGCTTCAGCGTCCCCTGTGAAGCCTTCTGTCGAGCACCCCTCTTCCCGGGTCTGGGCAGGGGCTGTGCGCCCTGCTTCCTCGGAGCCGAAGGGCTGGTGGGATGGGGACCTGGGGGAAGAAGGCCTCAGGGGGGCAGGGCTGCCTGGCCCTGAGGGCTCCCGGGAGGTTTGGGAGGAAAGGGGGATCCCTAACAGCGTGGGTCCCAGGCAGCACTGCAGGAGGGGTGGGTCCCAGGCAGCACTGAGCTGGACAGGGCTCAGGTGAGAGGCCCTGCAGGGCAGTGACTGGAAGAAAAACAGGCCCAGAGCTGATGAATATCCTCTTGGACCCAGATCTGAGAGCAAAACTGGCTCCTTGATTTGGGGTCTGGTATTCTTTCTTTCTTTTTATTATTAAAAAAAATTTTTAAATTGATTTCAGAGAAGAAGGGAGAAGGAGAGAAAGAAACATTAATGCTGAAAGAGAATCATTGATCGGCT